TCGCAGGCTGCAAACAGCCCCTAATGAGCCGCGCTGAGGGCCCCGCTTGGGGCTGGCGTCAGCCGGGGGCAGTGTGGACCGGGGACCCGATCCCCCCGGGGCTGGGGATGGAGGAGGTGGGAGGATCAAGGTGCCCAGCAGCTGCTGCCACAGGAATGGGTCTGGATGGGGCACACAGCACCCACATGGGACTGAGATGGGGAATGGGAAGGGGGGGTGGCCAAACCTGCCTCTAACCCAAGGTGAAGCTGCACACAGGGTGCAGGAGACAGCTGGGTGCTGTGCAGGGGGGTCCTGGATGTGTGCTGAGTGTTTCCAGCAGCTAGAGGAGAGGGGATGCAGCAGATGAGCCCCTTGCTAGCCCTGTGCCCTGTCCTCTCCGAGCCAGCCTGGCCCTCAGGTGCAGGAGGAATCGGGTCGTGCAGGGACAGAGTGTGCGGGGGGCACAGGGGGCTCTGCAAAGACCACCAGGGCTGGCGCTGCTGCCAGGAGCTCATGCACCACTGGGTACATGCTGGGAGGCCTGGGGGGGCCTCCCTGGTCATGCAGGGTCATGCCAATGCCGCTTCAAGCGGCAAGAACAGGCCCATGGTGCTGCACCCATAACACACATCCCTGGCCAGTGAGCGACCGCAGAGATGTCACCTCCATCAGTGCCTGGCCCCGTGACAGAGGCTGCATCAGGTCAGCTGCAGCTCCCTTTGGGTTTTGGCTAATGATCAGGAGTTGGAAGACTTCTGGAGGCTTTGGACACCTGCCAGGAGCTACGGGTGGGCAATGTTTCCCTCAAAAGCCAGTAGAGAGCTCAGCATGTCCTGGTATTTCTCTAACAGGGAACTAGATGTCCTCAGGCTCAGCTGTGGCCCCGCTTGAGCACAGCTGGAAAGGGAAGCAGCCTGGAAGGGCGGTGGCGGTCAGTCCCAAAACAGACCTGGGAGTCTGGGACCAGTGGGGATCTGTTCCTCCCCGCAGCCATGCGGGGCGCAGAGAAGGAGCCCTCCCTCCCGCGTGTCGCCCCGCCAGCTGCCTCTGTCCAGACAAAGCCCTGTTTCCAGAGAAGCCCACCTACCTGGTAGTTAGCAGAGTCATGTGGCTGCAGCACTTAATTAATAAAAAGCTGATATAAACTCCCCTAAGCATGTGGGGAGGAGGACATCGAGGCAGAGAGCGGCAGCAGCACTCCCAGCGAGCTCGGTGGAGCAGCGAGCAGCAAGCCCCCCTCTCTGCTTGGAGAGGTCAGTGCTTACAATGGGAAGGGTCTGGGGGGTGTTTGGGGTGCGATGCCCTTGGCTGTGGGGCTCCCCATGGCACTGAGGGGTCTCTCCTGGCAAAAAGCTGGGCAGTTTTGCGGGGATGGGGAGGTGAAGAGGGGACGGCAGAGCTCTGGGGCTGGAGCCCGAAGGCTGCCGAAGCAGCAGGCACTGGGTTTTGTGGGACTCAGCTGCCATCAGTGACTGGGGGGTTCCCCTCCTGGCCCTCTTTTTTTGAGTCCCTAAGAGCCCCCCTGCTTTTCACAGCTTTCAGGCCCCCAAAGCCCATGCTGTGACCGTGCAGCATCTGCTCTCCCCCAGCTCTATGCATGATGTGTCCAGTCTCCCCAGCTCGCCCAGTCCTTCCTCCAGCTGTGCCTGGTGTGGCCTTCCTCCTCTCTGCCAGCCCAGCCTCTTCCTCTTCTCAGCACCCCAGCTTCACCTTCACCTTCCTCCCTTCTGCTGAGTCCCCCCAGGTCGGGGCAGGTGAAAAACCCAGGCTGGTCCAACCAGGGGGACATTCTCTGTTGATGGTGCCCACGTCCCAGGCAGAGAGGGTTTTGCATCCCAATGCTTCCCACACGGAAGCTGTGCAGCCAAGTGTCAGTGGGTTTTCCTGGTAACTGGGTGGCACGGAGGGCCTGGAGCCTCCTGTGAGGTCTTGGCCATGCAGAGCAGGCAGTAAATATTAGCTGTTCATCTTTAAAACTAGCAGCATTGCCATGCTCTGTGAGCACAAGTGCCTGGCAAGAGCTGTGTCAGGTGTTTTGGCTGCAGCCCGTGCCCGTGCAGGTGGGTGAGTGTTTGGCACCGCGATGGTCTGGTGGCTGCTGAAGGCTGTGTGTGGGCCAGGGAGCCCCTGAACTGCTGCAAAAAAGGTCAAGTCTCAGTCCATCCTCTGCTGCTCAGCCGCTTCCGTGGAGAGATCACAAACGTGCCTGCACATGGGGTGCCCCACAGCACCTGCGTTAGATCTGGAGGGTTCATGTGAAGCTCCCAGGCATGTGGTGGCCCCAGAAATGCTCTCAAGTCCAAGAGTGAACAGCCCAGCGCGGTGGCTGTGCTGGCAGGGGGAAAGGTCAAGTCTCAGTCCATCCTCTGCTGCTCAGCCGCTTCCGTGGAGAGATCACAAACGTGCCTGCACATGGGGTGCCCCACAGCACCTGCGTTAGATCTGGAGGGTTCATGTGAAGCTCCCAGGCATGTGGTGGCCCCAGAAATGCTCTCAAGTCCAAGAGTGAACAGCCCAGCGCGGTGGCTGTGCTGGCAGGGGGTACAGTGGGTGAGCTGATGCTGGCTGGGACCCCTCTGCGCAGGTTGTCCCCCCAAGACCATGCTGAATGCACTGCTGCTGTGCTGTGGGCTGCTGCAGGGGATCCAGGCCATCCTCAGTGCCGACCTTGCCCGCGGCCACCTGCAGAAGGTGAGTGGTGGGCTGGAGGGGACAGAGAGAGCCCGCTACTCCAGCCTGCTGCGGAAAGTCAAGGAGGCGTCTGCTGAGCCAGCAGGTGAGTGTTGTGTCCCCCCTGTCCTCCTGCTGTCCCTCACCAGCCACTAATTGGCATGCCCAGGGTCCCCAAAATACAAGTGGGGACCCCACACCTGGGGTCAGATGGAGGGGATCCCCTCCTGTCTTCTCCTGTTGCTGTGAGAGCAGCCTCCTCAGTCTCCCTGCTCTGGCAGCCTGTGAGGAGTGGGGGGCTTTTTTGGGGGGGGAAGACACATGACCATGGGACCCCCCCCAGCATCCTCCTTGTCCAGCCTCTCCGTATCTTGCAGGAGCTGTCCCCAGGCTGGGGTTTGAACAGATGGCCCTGGAGGTTCAAGAAGCCGATGGTGACCTCATGCAGAGAGGTGGCGTGCTGGAAATGCAGGTAACGCTCCCTGAGCTTTCCTACAGACACCCCAACAAGCAGGGTGGGGGCCACAGCAGCCTCCTCTGTGTCCCTGGAGCCAGGGGTGGTTTGGTGCCCAACGTGGTAGTCCCTGGGAAGGGCATATCTGGTGCCTGCTGGGGAGCAGCCAGGGCTGGGATGCTTAGAGCTGGAAGGGGCTCTGACACTCAAAGGAGGGTGGTCCAAACCTGCAGTCCCGTGTCCCGTTAATTAATTAACCTCTAGTGCAGCCCAGAAAGTCTCTGCAGAGCAGTAGCTCATGGAGCAGTGCTGCATCTTGCTGGGCTCAGACCTCAGTGCCTCTGTTCTGGCAGAAGGCACGGCACCCTTCACTGAAGCTGGGGCTGTGCTTCAAAATAAATGCATGCTTAAAGGCCTTGAGATGTGGTGTGGACGAGGCAGTGATGCCACAGCAGTGAGCCACGGAGCTTAGTGGTGATTTCCAACCCACCAAGTCCAGAGCTGAGTGTGACAGAGCTCTGTGTGCTGGGAGCAGCAGGTTTCATCCAGCAGCCACTCTTGGCTTTCTCCCACGCAGTCCTTTATTGTTGGTGTGGTGGTCCAGCACCAACCTTTTGCCTCCTCCTCTCCTAGCAGGAATCATCCACAGAACTGCAAGCTGCAAGCCGAGAAGAGCGCTCCCCCCGCCGCTGCGTCCGGCTGCTGGAGTCCTGCCTTGGGCATCAGGTCCCCTGCTGCGACCCCTGTGCCACCTGCTACTGCCGCTTCTTCAACGCTTTTTGCTACTGCAGGAAAATCAGTACCAATTTCCCCTGCGGCAAGAACTAGCCCCTATGCCATGGGGCTGCCTGCTCCTTGCCCACACGCGCCGCCGCCTCCTTTGCAGCTCTAATAAATCAGCCATTAGCAAAAGCCATCGCTGGGTGGGAACAGTTCAGTGCATCTGCTTGGGATCTTAGGGAGAAGGGTAGCAGCAAGATGTGAGAACCTGCACCCAGCAGGGCACCGTGTCCACATGGCTGAGAGTCCAGGACACCCCCATGTGAAACAAAATTAGATTTTTTTTTTTTTTTCCCTCCCTGTGGCAAGATGGGGACAGTGTGTGTGTTTGATCAGGTTTTTCCATTAGCAGCAAAGAATGCACAAATCCCTAGACCCAGGAAAGTCACCTTACGGATCTTAGTTGTGTAACACAAACTTTCTTTTCTTTTTAGGACCTTGTGAGCCGTCAACCCCAAGGAATCAGTGACCAAGCCGGGTATGCAGTCATGACAGACCATCACTTCTTCCACAACTAACCCACATGCACCCGGGGAGGTTTAGAATATCTGTGGAGGCTGTGAAAGGCCCTGTGTAAAACACAGCAGGGCGCCAGAGGCGAACCTAGGGCCCAGCTCTGGGTGAGGACTTGGCTGGGGGGAGGGTTCAACCGGCTCCCCCGGGAGGGAAGAA